AAATCCTAATTTGTTTCTTAGTTTTGAATGACCAGGTTATTGAACAGAACAAAATTCAGTCACTCACTAATCTCTAAGGAAGGAAATATCTTCACCTTGAAGGAGGCTAAAGTTCTCAAAGGATTATTTATCATTTCAGAAAAATTTTGGATCCAGGTATCTAGCCAGTGATTTCTCCATGTTTAGCATCACAGCTTTCTTGAAAACTTTCATAGAAATCAGATGCTGTTAAAGTACTGGTTTTTTATGTTTTTCAGACATAACAAGTAGCCTTTATGTCAGTAATTCCAATTTTTTTTGCATACATTAATATACAAATTAAAAAAATTAAACTGAAAAAAAATCTGAACTCGTGCCTGAGAGGAGAGGTCTGGAGGAAAGGGAAATTGATGAGGTTTATGCTTTTTTGGTGCCTTTGTTTGACACATTGTGAGTTGTTGCCAGGATTTCTCACCCTGGATGATACTTGTTGTTTTAGGGAAATATTTATTTCCCAGAGAGAAGGAAGCATTTTCTATATAGGATGTGATAGCTGCTTTGGTGCATGGTGATGACTTTAAAGTTCTCTACTCCTGTTAATAGGTGCTAACTGTAGAACATAAGCCTCCTCAGAGGAAGAGAATGGGACACATACTTCCACTTCAGTCAACGGTAGAAATTCCTGAAGTGATTTTTTTTTTTCCATCTTATCTTCCACCTTTTCTTTGTAGATCTCACAGATTGTAGTGGGCTTGCAAACAAGGTCTATTTAGTAAAAACTGTTGGGATTCAACTGTAAGGGAAATTTTTCTTCACCTTTGCTGTCATTTTACATTCCATTTAGTAGGTAAATCCAGCCCTTTAGTAGTCTTTTAATGAGCAAATTTCAAGCCATACATGAAAACTCCATTGTGCTTTATTTGCCATAGTGCCGTGTCTCTGTTGGGTAACCCCTGGGCTAGATAATTGAGTTGGAAAGGTCTCTGTTCCCAAACTATTAATCTAAGTCCCCAGAACTCAAAACCTGGTTTGAATACACCCCATTTCTTTCATGCATGACTATTCCAGAAGCTGTGACTTCTGACGGTGCTTAAAGAAGTATCTAATTGTTCTCTTCTTGATCCAAGGCTTGTGTGAACACTTTGTGCAGTTCTTCCTGTCTTGAGGTTCTCCTCTGCTTACCTCTTGGCTGTTAGCTACCAAGTACCTTCCAAGCTCAGAGGTCTGTGAAAACTGGTGAATAAAAGAAAGCTGTTGAGGTTTTTTGTGTTTACTTAGTCCTGTACAGATTTATACTCATCTGCCTGGACTGTTTGCCTTCAATAGAAATAACTGAAGTAGAACAACTCTGAACAACAGAATTCTTGTAGTGTTGTTCAGCTGCATGTACTCTCCTTATCTTGGTATTTTCAAGCTTGGATCTTTGCTTCTGATTGGTGTCCAAAGAAACTGTCCAAGAAACTGTCAGGGATCTATACCAAGCCAGCTATGAGGGCCATGCAACAAGGCAAGATATAGCTGGCCCACTGTCTGTGCGTGCAGAAAGAGGAGGTGTTATACTCAGGCAGCTCTTAAGAGCTTTCTCTCTCTGAGCCTTCAGAAAAAAGTTGAAAATTTCTGCACTGTCTGTTCCGTATGAAGGACAGCAGGAGCATGTTTCCTAGCCTAGTGTCCAGCTAGTCCCTAAGTCTCAACTCATTAATGGAAATTCTTTGCACATACTTAATGGGGAGAAATAAGGGTGACCTGTTTTCTCCATAGTAAAACAATGTTTTTGTTTACTTGCTTTAGGAGATGTGAGTAATAAATGGGGCATCTAAGATGTGTTAGTAGAATAATTGTCTGAAAGGGAGTGTTTGATATTGGCAGTACTAGACAAGGCTGTGCTGTATAAAACTATGGTGCTAAGCTTTGAAGAGATGCCCAGGGCTTTGGGGAAGGCCTTCTGGTGGCTGCCTGTTTTGCAGCATTTCTAGGTCTTCAATTCCAGGAAGCCCACAGACAGATAAAGGGACCTGAGCAACACTGTTCCTTATCTATCTTATTAAATTTCAAGATTTTAGGCAGCTACATATTGTTGAGGTTTTGATGGCTTTTGGAGGGCTGTATTCTCAGAATGGTGTGAGCTGAGACAGCTTGCTAAGAAAAGCTAGTCATGAGCCAGAGAGAAGAGAAGGACTTTCTCTGAAGTCTTCAGGAAGGATAAGAATCCAGTGCTGTACAGATTTGGTTTGGAAAGACCTAGTGATACTTTTTTTCTGTCTGAGAAGACTGAGATGGGGAGACTTTCTTGTAGAGTGAAGCTAAATCTTACATCGTGAAGTGACTGCGCACAAAGTACCCTAAATGGATAGATTCGTTTCATATTTGTTACAGGTATCACCTGAAAGAGCAAAGAGGCGTTTCAAAGATGACACCATAGCAGCAAAACAGGCAGCCAGCAATTCAGTATCCACTATTACTCCAGCATCCCTTCTTGGGAGCAGGACCTGGTTGATACCAAAGAAATCTGTATGCTGTCAGCCACTTTAATTTCCTAGCTAGGGTAGAGCAGGAGGCAGCACTGAGTTCCTCACCTCTCTGGTTCTTCCCAAAAGCATTGTCCAGCCCCATAGCAAACATATCATGAATCATTCATCTTTAATAGATTATGCAAATTGAGAACATCAGATCAATGAAGATCAATACCTGCAACCATTTAATTGCCAGCAAAAACATTTTAAGAATGAGCATTATCTGAAGTCCTTTCTTGGGTAATGGCACCATTAATCCAAACATTGGATCCTGGCCTAAGTGTAGAGGAAAAACTCTCTGCCCCTCTTCCTCTGATGCCTTAGAGGGTGTCGAGGGGCTTTTTTTTTCCCTTTTCATTTCCAGTTTCTGAGTTTCTCCATCATTACCACCAGTGAACAGCTCCCAGTGCTAAAAGTTCTGCTTTTGTTACTCTGCACTGATTGAAATGTCGCATACAGATTGAGATGTTAGTGCTAAGTTGCCACCTGGGAATGTCAAGCTGGGTCTGAAATGAACTTTCTCACTTTTGGATCCAGATGGATCAGATGGGGATGTTCTCGAGCTGAGCTGAGAGTGTGTCAGGGAACAGAGTGAGAATGGCACAGGGTGGGGGAGACATGAAGAAATTTTTTTGCCTTAGCCTATAGTCTCTTCTGGGAGGCCAAATCTGTCTCCTTCTGTGCCCATGTGAGAGTAATGTCCAAAGCTTGTGTAGTGTTCCCAGCCTTCTAGAAGTCTGCTCTCACATTAACAGGCTGGAATGAACCATCTTCACTTAGGAAGAAGGACTAAAAGGAATTATTTTAATGGCTCCTTTGAATCTTAGGCTCTGATTGTAGACGCGTCACCTTTACATCCAGCTGTGGGGATCTGCCTTGCTCTCCTACTGACTTTGCCCCCCAAACCAGGAAAATATTTCCTGTAAGAGATGTAGGTCTGCTAAACAATAGATGAACACCAGCTGAGTTTTGCCTTGCATATGCAAATAAAAAGAAAGGTAGAACAATTTTGCCACAGCTAAGCCATTTTTTTCCAGTTGGTTAAGAAACCACACGGCTACAAGGATTCTGAATCAAGCCTGGAAGCAGTAAAAGCCGTGAAAAAAGTCAGGGGATGTCACACTTTCTAGATGTTCCCTAAATAATGTAGTTCATCTCCCCATGTTCTCCACATCATTTTGTAGACCTCACACTGGATAGCCTCTGTATTTGAGTTAACCGTTACTATTCCTGCCTGATGCCCAAAGTTCTTTGTAGCCAAAAGTTGCATGCAACACCATACCTTTGCTCTATGTTTGCTGAACAAGCTATGACTACCTGCCTCAGCCATGAGCTGCTTTGACAGCAAGGGCTATTAGCTGGGGCTTTTGCAAGAAAAAGCTGAGATACAAACACCAGTGCTCTTGATTCTGTGCTATTAGAGGACAACTTTTTGGCCAAGAGACAACAGCTTCTCCCCTTGCTAACAGGATTTAGACCTCTTTGTCATGAGTTATTTCTCAACTTACGCCATGAGGTTTTTAGATTGGCCACAGCATTTGTAGAGAAAGAGAGATATACCAATCAGGGGCAAGTCACTTGAGCCTTGCCCGTTGCTTTAGCTACCCAAGAGGAGATGTGCAAATCTATGGTAGCTGTGTGAGCAGCAAGCACTGGCAACTAAAGCCTGAGAAGAAGTGCTGTATGAATTAAGCACCGTATGAATACCTCCTTACAGCTCTAGACGTACACAGGGCAGGCAGTCTAACACTAACATCATGACAGCATGTGTGTGCCTTGTGGCCCCAGGGCAACCCTGCGCTGCTCAGGTTCTGCATGTGCCACCAGCAAAGAGGAAGTTTCAGTGAAGCATCTGCTGCAGAGGTTCCTTACTATTTCTGTGCATCCTGATTCCTCTGCTGTCATGCGCTTACACACAGTTTCTACTCTCCCAGACACACCTGACTTTAATGTGCCCACACATGAGGGAAGGCTGTGCACAAATTTTTTTTGCTAGCTTTCATTAGAGACTCACGGGCTTAAGGAAGAGGGAGTTTAGCAGTCACAGTTCAGCAGACCTCAGTATTTAATTTGCAAATGCCCCTTCCAAATGCCCGGGCTGAATAGAACTTATACTATTATTTCTCCCCAAGAAAACCAAGTGCAGATCATGGATAATCCATGACCCTGTTGTTCTCAGATACATAAGCAGAAAATCACAGTGCATATTTGGACACATCTGTCCTCCACCAGCATCCAACCCTAAGTCCCATCTGGGCACACAAGTTCCCGATTCACATCTGGGTTTTCCTGTCTTTGAGTCACATCTGGACACATCTAGGTGTACCCAAAGCTGCCAATACTCTGAATTTCAAGCTTCTCTTGAGCCCTTATGTTCTCCACAGTCTTTCTGTCTCTTTCCATGTTTGCCACAGAGGGATATCTTGCATTAGCAGAAAAAGCAGAAGCTAATGGTGATGAGGGAAATAAATAAAAAGCTTGGTTCTGCTGTTTGGTCAGGCAGCTTACCGGTCACCACAGGGTACGTCTGGGGTCCTGACACATTTGTCCCCAGGTCTGGGTTAGCAGAGGTGGATAGACTTGATTTGACTTCATCGAGACCAGGGGTCAGAGCTGGGAGGGAGTACTCATTACCCTGGGGAAGAGAGGAGAAAGACAGCTCGCTATTGATGCGACGGGAGAAAGGGAAGGGTGTACAGATGGGGGGGAGGAAGAGGAGAGATGCAAACCCCTGCACAGATGGAAGAGGAGGAGGAGCAGGAAACGGAGAAGATAAAGTGACAAGAGGGTTGTGGGGGGTTCCTAGGATGAACTGTCCCACCCACCTGCGTGACACTGTGAAGAGGAAGAGGGGTGAGGGATCTGACCTGTTTTCTGTGTTATGGCTGAGCCTTGGTTCAGAGCTGTGGGGATGGCTGTCTGTGCCAGCCCAGGGGAAAAGAAAGGGAGAATCCTCATCCCCTCCTCTTGGCTGAGTGGAGGTGGGATATGTTTGCCCTGGTGACAAAGACAGCTGGGGCATAGGACTGCAATGACATGACTAGGACAGGCAGGCTGTAGGAAGCAGCCACTGTTGGCCCACTGTCGCCAGGGTCTCTGCTTGAGTCATCTGCCTCCCCTCCACTGCTACCTCTGTCCTAGCTTTCTAAAAACAAAGAAGCCTCATCCCCTGCCTCTGTCACTCTGTGCATTGGGGTATGAAATTGGGGAGGGGGGAGCCACATGGCTAACAGAAGGGTGGGAGGGGGAGAGCCATTGAATCTGAAAGGGTGTCCTGTCCGAAAGGCTCTGGTAATTGCCTTTTTATTGTGGCAGCCTCCAGACCAGACGCGGGAGCTGGAGAAACCGGGAAGGCTACAAAACAGCAGGAAAAGTTGCTCTGATTAATATTACGTTAAATTAAAACTGATTTTCTGCTTTTTCTCCTCTGTTTTTTTCCATGCACTTCCCCAACCCCCTCCTCACATCTCCCCCTCCTCCAGTGGGCTCCCCGCATGCTGCCCCCTCCCCGCCCCTGTCCCTGCTTGGCTAGGACTGCCTAGTCATTTCCAATTCCTTCTTGTATTGATCTTCCTGTAGAAATCAGTTTTGTAATTAGCTGCAAATTAGGCCTTCTACTGGGGGTGAGCCTGCCCCCTGATTTATCACCAGAGTAATTCGCTGTGATCGGAGAGAAATTAAAATGAACTCAATTAGGCTTCGGATTTGCTTTATGGGCCCTGCTCAGAGTTTCAGGGGGAAAAATGACTGTGCTGGTGCTTAATAGTCTAATGAAAGTAAATAAAGGTTATTCATTGTAATAAACCCAGGGACTCTGGGATGAAGGGAGTCCACAGCCAGCCTCTCCTTCTCTTCCTTTGTTGGTTTATGGCTTGGGGCGGTTTAAAAAGACTTTTGATTTTCATTTTATTAAGACAAACAGCTTTTGGGATAAAAGGCCAGGAGAGTGGGGGAGTAAAGAAAAGGTGGGCAGAGCTGCAGAAGTGTGGAAAACTAGGTTGGAGATGGGAGTCAAGTCTCAGCTTTGGGCCATGAAGGAAAATGATCCATTAAAACCCAACCCTGTGGCTCGCTGGTCACTGATGTCACCTAAGAGTGCAGGAGTTTCTGAGCAGTGCTGTGTGCCACTAAACATGCATGGTGGTGTAGGCATGTTCATGGCAAGAACATGGATGCATAACTTCAGGTGTGAGTGCAGAGGGAAAAGCGGATGTGGGGATTTAGGGACAGCATAGTGTGAGTGTAGAGAGGAGGTAGAGCTCATGTACACATGAGCATCAGCACAGTGATATATTTACAACTAGAAAATGCTGTAAAATGTAAATGTGGTGTATGTGCAATAATCGGTCAGTGTCAGAACATGGGGTGGAGAGGGTAGAGGGATTTTGGTGAAGGAATGTCCCTACCATCATTCTGTCAGTGCCTGTGGTTTCCCATTACCAGGCCAGGCCCTCACCTGCTCAGATTTGATGTGCTCTGATGTTTGAAAGACGTCAGGGTAAGAAGGACGCTCAAAAACTCGATCTAAAGCTTCCAGCTGCTGCTGGGTGAAAGTGTCGCCACGAAGGTGCTTCCGCAAACTGTCCACGCTGCTCTGGGAATCTCCATTGGGAACTGAGCCCTCGGATACATCTGCAGGGCACAGACAGAGAAAACAGGGAGTTAGCACCACCCTGGCTTGGATTGGCAAGGGATGCAGGACAAGGACAGAGTGGGGAAGAGTGGGGCCCTCTGCTTCCACCCAGGTAGCTGTGCCACTTCCAAGGGAAGGGGAAGCTGCAGGGGCCCAAGGGAGCCCCCTCTTCTCTGCTGGAGTGGCTAGGCTGTTCCTGTGGGCTCTGTGGGACTCTCCTGCCCAGAATGAGTGAGGCTGTGGAGAATGGTGCTTGGCTCAGAGATGAGTTTCGGTTCCGCTGATTTTCAGTGTTAAAAATTGCCAAATCTCCATTGCTGAGCATAAAATGGGAGCAAAGCACAGCGATTAGCACCGCTAGAAGACTGGTGGAGGGGCAGTTCATAGAGAAACCAGAGTGCTGAGGATGGACTGTACTAGAGAGGACTGAGGAAGCCTGCAATGTTAAAAAGGCTCTCTTACAGCTTGAAGGGAAGTTAGTCTCTGTTGTAGCTCCCAGTCCCATGAACAGCTATCAGTGCTATAATTTCCTTCTCATCTGATCATACCCCAGATGAGTCTTTCATCCCCTTCAGATAATAGGAACAATCCTGCTTCTGATTCCATGTTTCCCCAGAGACAAATCTCTCCCTGTGGGGCAACTGTCCCATCTAACATACATTGGTTTCTGTCCACTCACCTACATGTAGCTCGTGATTTATCTTAACCCATATATCTGCTATAAAACTCCCTCCAAAATGAGATGAATCTTTGTCAGTCCTCCTTCTTATCCAAAATGTATTACAAAACCTAGTCCTACTCAGTGTGAATCAACCTTCCTTTTACTAGGAAAATAGCCATTTTGGCAGATGCTTTCCAAGAACTGCATTTCTGCCCCTACAACAGCCCTCTGGCACAGTCCAATCTCACTGCAGTGCCTCCTGCCACATTCCAGGGTGTCTCTATTTCTGTTGTGCCATCCCACATCTCTTACAGCATACTTATCCCCTCTGAGGTGAGTCCATTATAAATGCCCTGCCCCATCCAAAGTGAGTCTTTTCCTGTGATAAACCGTCTGATCACCTACCTGGTTTTGTGGGTTTTTTTCTTCCCTGTTATCCCCCAACTCAAATGAGGTGCATTTATCTCAGTTATAACCCCTTTTTATCTCAAGTGAGTGAGTCTCCTGCTATTAGCATCTGTCACATCCAAGGTGAGTCTGTCTGTTATAACCTCCTGTCCCAGCTGAAGTGAATCTTCCTCTGTCATAATCCCTCATCTCATCTGAGGCAAGTCTGCTCATTATAATCTTCTCCAACTGTGCTGAGTATCTTTCTGCTGTCACATCTCAGCCTAACTTTGGTGAGTCTGTTTATAATCCCCTGCATCATCCATGCTGATGTACCTCCATACCCTCCATACTGAATCTCTACCTATTGTGCTTCATCAGACACAAGTCTCACTGTCTTATCACTCTTACTAATCTAAGATCAGGTTGTCCCTCTCGTGCTGTGATTGTCTTCCTGCTTTTTCATTGTTATTCCTCGTACTTAAACCTTTCTTGGTGGCCTTTGGTCTGTGAATCTCAGAAACTTGCTGTCTGTCAAGAAATTGGTCAAAGGTTCTGCATAGGCCTTTTCCCTCCTCCATGCAGTCCCAAGGTGCTCATGGACACATGATGCTTCCAGGAACCTGGAGTGGTATTTACCGTGCAGTGAACACCCAGAACAATGCCACTCTGCTGCTTCCTCTTTTAGCTCATGGGTGGTGCCAAGATGGGTATTTTCTTGGCACCATTAATGCCCAGCTGGTGGCCCAGAGTTATGACTAAGCCTGCTGCCTTCTGGCTATGAGATATATCCGTTTATAGGTGATTATACGATATGATATAATCAATAGTACATTATATACAGTAGCGTAGTACAGTACCACTCGCAAGACCATAGAAAATATTACATATTGATTTGTCCCTGCCAGCAGCCTTCCCTTGAGCAGCCCCTTCTCTCTTTCTTTTTCACCCCAAGCCAGAGAAGGGCTGTTTACTGGCACTGATCCCTGGCATTTTCTCCTCTCCACAGGTTTATTTGCCCAAGGGAACATTCTCGGGTTCCTGAAATCTGGAGTTCATGACAGATTTGACTAAGAGAAAACAAAGCAAAGATCAGGCTTGGTGGACTGCACACTGCATGTGTGATGCTGCTACTTTGGGGGGTGGGTTTCAGGAGGAGTAGGGGAGTTCTGATCCTCCCTGCAGAAAGCTGGCACAGAACTCCTGGGTCCAGATTCAGAAAAAAAAAATGTTTCTGTATCAGTGCTTGCCTCAACCTGTCTGTAGCCTGTGAAGCTGTTTGTCTTTGAGGATTTTTCCATGTGTCAGTCAGTGTGCATGACTGTGCACACCATGATGCTAATACACATGGGTATTTTTGCAGTAGATAATTATTCTGGTGTTTGGATTCTGCATCACTGTACGTGCCTGCCCAGGCGTTTGTCGGTGGTGGCTGGTTTTGGCTATATCTGATTTTGAAGGATGGCAGCCCTACACTTTGCTTAGTGTTTGATGTGAGTGGATGGGTGTAAAGTAAAACCTGCATTGATTGTTGTTAAACCAGGTTTTACCCTTAGTGAGTTGTCCTGGGTGGTTACACAGATTAGTGCACACATGCACATGTATTTGCTATTCCTGTCTGCCTTTAGATTCCCGTGCACGTGTGTCTCCCGCGTGTGCACAGGCCATGCCTTTGTGCGAAGAAGCTGAAATCACAGCTTTCCCAAGTCGCTGTAAGAGTCTCTTTTCCTTCATTTATTCAGGGGCCCTTCAGATCTTGACAAATCTGTCACTCTAAATTTGCGAGAGATTATGGTGCTCTCTGCCTAGCACGGAGAGAGGTGATATATGATATCTGCTGCCCCTATTGATTGCCTGATCTGGTGGCAGAGGGCTGGCGAAATGAACTTGAAATGAACATCATGCCTCAACTCATTGTGCGTATAATACACTACTTAATCCCACATTTTTGAGCCGCTATGGAATTCAATTGATCAATCATGTCCCTCTGATAGTACTGTTTTAGGGGTTATTGCTGCTCTGCTCACTGACCTTTCTATTTATTTATTTATTTATGTCTCTGTGTGTGTGTTTATGTGTGTGTGTGTGTACACATGCACATAAGTGTGTATTTGTATTTGTGAAACTCAGGACCAGCTGTTGAGAAAGGATCCATACAGTCAGTGGGGAATGAAAGAAAAGGATGAAGGAAGGAGAAGAGCAAAGAATGGGATTAAAAAAAGAAATTGGAATGATCAAAGGAAGCAAATGGGTAGGAAGGGGTGGAAAAGTTGTAAGGAGAAAGGCAATGCTTGAATTTAAGTGGAAGTTGCTGGGGGGGGGCACAGTGGTGGGGATTCGGGAGTGGGGGTTTGGGGCACTCTTCCCTGGCCTAGGCTTTAAAATCTGCAAAAGCAAGAAAAATTTTGACAGATGCCTGTAGGCTACCTCGAGGTGGATCTTGTCTAAACAGCTTTCAGTATTATTTGACTTAATAATAGTAGGATACACGAATCCCAAACTTCACAGAGCAATAATATGAACTGTGTATATAGATTTTACTGATGAAGCAGAGAAGATTTTGCAGAGATGATCCTGAGAGACAGATTTATATGTCTTGTGTTGCTAACATTGAAACATTCACAGTCAGATCATTTTATTTTTTTCAAAACTAAAGGATTGTAAATCCCCTGTATTTGTTTTCTGGTGTCAAAACCTACAGAGGATGTGTTTTCATTTTTTCCCTGAAACTGCAAGGGCCAAACACTTATATCTGGCAACTTAGATGTTGCAGTTCTCTTCTAAGCATGTGAATCTCTGAGTTAGACTATCAGGGGAAGACTCGAATTGTGTCATACGCAATTGTCATGCGTCATATGGAAGCTGACAACCACATGGATATGAGCAAAGGTGGCAGAAAGGAGCAGAGAGGACTTTGGGGAAGAGATGGGGTCCATCAAAGGCTTGTGGGTGCTAGTCAACTGAGAGCTCAGGGCCAAAATTGGAGTTGGGAAAGACTAGGAGATCCCATGAGGAATGGCACTGTGATGGGCAACAGTTACTTCTATTGATGAAGAACAGTGCTAGAAGTAAAAGCTTAAGGGATGGGGATTTGCCAAGAAAGTCAATATTGGAAGGGATTCTGTTGGAAGGGGTGAAGCAAGGTTTCAGCTGCAGGATAACTATGGGAATGCCATGGTAACTGTGGTAGTTGTACCATTAGGAAGCACCTTCATCTTTCCCAGTTCCCTTTTATTGGCAAGGGAAACTCTGTGGTACTGTAACACAGGGACACCTCTCTCTTAAATCGTAAGGATCTTAACAAACAGCTTGAGAGGTGAACCATGGCCTCAGTCACTTTGTCCCTCACAAAAGAGCACACAATTGCTGTCACTGTGATCAGGACTGGCCTTGCACATGTGACAGGAAATATCTTTCCTCCCCAGGGACTGCTGAGGGAGTGCACACAGCCCATGTTCAGTATAAACCCTCGACACAAGACACAGAAATGCTCCATGGGTGTCACAGAAGTATCCTGACAGATAACAAGGAAAGGCTGTGCCAGAAGACACAGGAACTGCCTTAACTACATCTAATACAGGGAATATGCCTATTAAATAATTCCAAAAAACCTAGATGTTCCCAGGCCTGGAAGCCACAAAGACACCATCATGTACAAGTAGCACAAAGCAGCATAATACCATTACTTCCCTAGCTACAAATGACAGCACTCTTGCTCAGGGTGAGACAGGACTATCTCAACAAATAACTCAGGAGTATTTCTGACATAGGGAGACTTTTGTGGCACAGAAACATGTAGGAAGGTAATGAGAAGCTTTGCAACCACCACACAACCACAGAGACACTGCTCTCTTTTGGGGCAGGAGCTATTACCGTCCCTATGACCTGTCTGCCTGCAGCCTTTTGGGGCTCTGATCTCAGCTGAGGCCTCACAACTCTACCGATAAAAAC